GTAATTAGATAATGTTTTCTATTTCAGTTAAAACGTTAAAAAATAGTAATAATAATGGTGAAATTAGCTACTTTTCTTCTAAATGACATTTATTGCTAATTTTTCATTTGATTTATTTGCAGGCACTCAAACAAGATATTGAAGAAAACTTTTATGATGGCAAATTCAGTTTTGATGACATTAGAGTAAACGATATGGTAGGACTACTAAAGCAATTCCTGCGTGAGCTACCAACACCCATTCTTATGATGGAATACATTAGTGGATTCGCTCAAATAGAACGTAAGATAAAAAAAATTGTGTATTAATTTATGCTTTAATAATAATAAATTTGCTAATTATTATCTGCAGTATTCAGTACAGTATATCAGTACCAGTATATGTATGTACAGTATATCAGTACAGTATATGTATGTCATTTCTTTATTTAATTTTCATGGTATACTTACATTATTTAGTATAATAGACCTTTTTGCTTAACCCCGCCCCTTGGATATTGTTGCCGAGGTCCCCAAAACGCCAGTGTTAAAACATACGTAAACATGTGCGTTTGTGGGACAACATGTGTGCTTGTTAGACGCGTGCATAAACCTGGCCCTCTTCTGATTGGTCAGTTGTTGAGTTTGATTGACACTCTGCAAAGGTCTGTTGTGTGGTTTGGATTTGAATTCCTTCAATGTGAAACACTGAGGGTAACCCACAAAAGTCTGAAGACGTGTTTCTGCTGAGGGCCTTCTGGTGGTGAATTGGACAGTAGAATGGACTCAATAAACATTTTTTTTGGTTATCCTTTATTTTGTTTTAGGAATTCCTGACCGGAAGCGTCAACTACAGTGTCTGAATCTGCTGATTCTTGTTTTATCAGATGTACATAGGGCAACTTTAAAGGTAATGCTCAATTCTAAACTAAATATTCATATATAGAACTATATCCTTATGCAATCAGGAAATTTCAACAGGAAAATTGTAAAAGGAATTAATAAAAAAATATCAATAAATGATGATAATTAATTTAAAATAAATAAATATTGTCTTCTCTTTCAGAGAGCCTTGAATCTTGATTCAAATAATTGAAATTTTTAGAATGTTTAAATTGACATAAAATTGGGCTGGCTTTTGATAAGTATTGGGGCAGGAGAAAGTCCTGTTCTGCTCTATAAGGCAATTAAAAAAAAAACCTATTGTGTTGCACAGTGACATAGTGATAGCTCAAACACCCATTTTTTTTTTTTTTGCGGGAGTTCCCACTTTTATTCTCTTCATTATTTTTAAGATTTATCATTAGTACACAGGATATATTTTTGATTCATTACAATTTAATTCCTCCTTTCAGCTGTTGCTTCAGTTTTTAAGTAAAGTTGTCGCAAATGAGCGTTATAACAAAATGTCATTGAACAACGTGGCGATGATAATGGCGCCGAATCTATTCACTGTGAAAGCTTCACATAAGAAATCTCCCGTTTTCGATGAGTTGTACATGGCAGCGGGAATCACAAACGTGATGCGTATGCTGATAAGATATCATCACATCCTATGGGTTGTAAGTATATAATTCAAGTTTTTTTTTCCCCATTATACATAGTGCTTTTCAAATTCAAAATAGGCTTGAAATTTTGGAAGTCTGACAGTATTTAAAAGATAATACAGTATATACAGTATGGAACA